GGCCATTTTTTGGTTGCAGCCATCATTGTTGTTTGGCGGGCCCAGGCTGGGGATTCGAACCCGCCACCTTAGGTATATGTGGCTGGTGCCTTAGCCGCTTGAGTCACAGGCGCCGAGCCAAAATCTTAATTTTCTAAGCAAATTAAGCCACAGCTGAAAGAAAAATCTGAAACCTATAAATCAAAGGCTATGTTCAAAAGTCACCTGTACCTGGTAAAAACAGCCCCAAGAAATAATGGTAAAAGTTTACAGTTCACTGAAATTCTCTGCTTTTGGCATCTGTGCTTTCAACATACAGGGAACTGTTTAGATTTACAGAAAGAAAGATGAGCCTACCAAGACTGAGTTTACATTTATTCAGTTGCTCAAAAATTAGATTTAAAGGCAACTTGAGATGTACATCCCTAATATTGAATTATTTCTAATAATAAGAAAAATTACCTAAAGATTTTTAACTGTTTAACTATTTTAAAAAGTTTCTGGATTTTTGTACGTCAAATCAAATTTTATTTTTGAAATCTAATCTCAATAGAGTCTTAAAATTTTCCTTTATCTAAGTGAAATTTTAAGAGTTTTTTTTTTCCCCCTCTAGCCAGTTTCTAGTTGTTATAAAAACTTTAAATTTGTAAATTGTGTTACCACCTTAAGGGAATTATAATCTGGTTATTTTATTAAATATCTATGCATAGTAAAGTGCTATTCTAACAAATGGATCAACAAGAAGAATCATCAGTAAAATTTAGACTTTATGAAAGAAGAATCTCCTCCTTAACCTAGCTATAACTAATACTTAAAATATAAGAGTTCTGAAGAATATACAAAGCAGAAATATTTATATAAATATACACTAAGCAATTTGGCTACTAAAAGCCTTACAAAATTATGGCTACTTCAATTTATATAAATAACACGAAAATGAGAATATACTGGGAAAAAAACCCAATACTTGGTCTCTTTTTAATTACTCAAATTTTAACAACACACTTTCTGAAAGACAAGAACACATGTATTCATTACTAAATAAAAAGTATAGAGGTTGCAATTAAGGTACCAGAGGCATTTTACTTAAACTGAGACTAAAAGTGCCTTACCGTTTTCTTCATTTCCAAAAATAGTAACTAAAATAGAAGAAAAAAGAAGTGAATAAATATACTTTAAACATTTGGTATGTAAGTTTTATTTCAGGTTGAATATTCATCTTTATACCATTTTCATAAAAATACAATTTAGTTATAAAATGTAAACACTAATACAAAGTCAGAATTACATTCCCCAAACTCTAAAACCATTAAAATGCTAAAATTCAAATTCTTTATCATTAACACTACACTTGCAGTAAATTTTTTCATACAATTGTTAATTTAAGTGTATCAACATGCTTATAGTTGTAACATTTTCTTAAGCTCTTTCCTTAATGATACATGCAGAATGAATCAAACTGTTTCTATCGCATCATAACTTATTAGTCTGGGATGTACCTTACCAAGCTCCTTTTGTAAGCTATTCTCAAGGCAAAAATTTTTTTATATATAAAAAAGTAGAGAAATGTATCCCTCTAATTTTTAGAGTGCTTTTTCTCTGAACACTCAACTATTCAAGACATTAGATGAAGCACAGAAAAGTTAATTCAGTATAATAACCTCTCATGCATTTTCTTCTGCTTGTATTACTATCCTGATGAATAGAGCCAACAACCACATCAGTCTTGACAGTGGTTCTAAAACCTTCCTCATGTCGCAATCCTTTAATACAGTTCCTCATGTTGTGGTGACCTCCCCGACTATAACCACAACATGAGGAACTGTATTAAAGGGTCATGGCATTAGGAAGGTTGAGAACGACTGGTCTATGAAGACTGAAACCTTAGGAACTGCAATTTATTCCTTCTTTCTGTAAAGTCCAATAACTTTCAGATTTTGTTGATTCTACTACCTAAGTCTCTATCAAATCTGTCACCTCTTCTTCAATCCCTCCCACTGCTTTCCTCAAATGAGAAAGCTTAAAGTATCTTCTTATCACTTCAATGTACCCGCACCACCACAAATATTCAGCAAATCTGATGAATATTCTTCAACACCTCTGAATCACTTTCAGAATAAAGTCCATGGCTCACAGTGGCTTATGCCTGCTATCCCAGCACCTTGGGAGCCAAAGGCAGAAGGATCACTTGAGGCCAGGAAGGAGATGATCAGTCTGGACAACATTCTGAGACACTACCTCTACAAAAATTCTAAAAATAGTCGTATGGTGGCAAGCCTGTAGTACTAGCTACTTGGGAGGCTGAGGTGGCAGGATTACTTGAGCCCAGGAGTTCAAGCTGCAGTAAACGATGATGGCACAGTGCATTCCAGCCTGGGCTACAGAGTGAGACTATGTCTCTAAACTATAAAAATGAAAATAAAGCCCACTCCAGCCTGGGCTACAGAGTGAGACTATGTCTCTAAACTATAAAAATGAAAATAAAGCCCCAAATCTTCAGGTTGGCAAATGTTATGGGTCCTCCATAATACAGAATCTGTCTGCCTCTCTTCTGTCATTTGCCCACACCTCTGGTCTAATTATTCTGAACAAATTGCACTTTCCTGAACACATTAAGCAGTTTCACATATGCTCCTCCTTCAAGGCCTGGTTTGAACACTAAAGCCTTCATGAACCTCTTTTTAGGCAGAGCAGCTCACTCACCCCTTTGTACCACCACTACTCACTCTTGAATCTGTACCACACCAGCTCTTTTTTTAATAATTATTTGTAGATTTGTCTCTCTCACCCTACTTCTCACCCTATTGGACTAAAGGCTCCTGAAAGTGTGCAACAACCCTGAACGTTATCATTAGCTACATTTTACAGATAAGTAACTAAGGCTCAAAATAATTAAATGACTTTCCTAAGATCACAGAGCTAGTATAAACAGCATAGATGGAATTTGAACTAAAGTCTGTTTGAACCTGTAGTGTCTCTTATTCTTTCAGTTCCAAAGCCTGGAATACAGTGGCAATACTTAAGAAATGTTTACTGATTCAATATCCATTTTTGATGATAGGAATACATGAACAATCCCTTAATAAACTAAAATATATAACACCCCCAAAATAGTAAAATATATAAACCTCAGTTCACCTGGATGGAGCTTCTTAGCAAAGTATCTCAAGAATGGAAGA